TTTTGAGTTGCCTTACTGACATAAATGAACATTTGCACGATATTCTAATTTTTCGAGTTTCGTGTGTGTGTGTGTGTGTGTGTGTGTGTGTATATATAAAATATGAACATAGCAGAGGAACAAGCAGGTCTTAAACAGTTACTCCACAATAGCCCAAGTGTTTATCTTAAATAATTTAAAAGAAGAGTATGTCAAACAGCATAAACACAGCTTTTATTGATTTTTGAGACCTTTATGATTCCATAGAGTTACAAGCTTTCAAAATTCCACAATAAACCAGTGCTGACTGATATTGGTAAAGGTTTTATATTCAAATACTAGGATTTGCCTTAGACTTTCAATAACAGATTCTATTTTAAATGATATCTCCACTACTAATGGAGTGAAGCAAAGATACATTCTTGCTCCTTTTTTATTTAGCTTTTTTATAAATGATGCAATCACAAGCCTAATGGAGATAGCCTTTTTTCTCAAAAGATTTCGGATAGAAAATTGACATCGTAACTCTGAGCTGATGACATGATCTTCATTTCCCAAATCTTGGTTGAACTATGAGGCTATCCTTCTTTGAAAACTAATGCCAGAAAAGTGATCTCATAATCAACTATGATAAATCAAAGGTAATAATCTTCAGAGGTTCTAATTCTCACCATTGATGGCATCTGAATACTGCTCCATTTGATCAAGTCACTTGTTATCATTACCTTGGTATTTTATTTTCCTATGAAGAAGACTTGGGTTCTCTGCAGTCAAACTTTGAGAGTCAAAGCAGATATTTACTCACAAAATAAGCATTGTTGTGAGATGGGCAGTGTCCAAATTTGAAATATAAATAAAAACTAAATAAATATAAAAATTGTTATTTGAACATTTTGGTGGCAAAGGGGTGGTTTTCAGAGCAGCCTGCACTTTATTCAAAGTAAAGTTCTAACCCTCTATATTATGTGGGGTCAAGATGTGGGGTGTCTGCTCTTCCCGTGAGATTTCAGTCTCAGAATCACACCAGAATAAAATCGTGAAAATCATTGTAGGTATACCTAAATACACCCCATCTTTGCTTCTTCAGGTGGAAACTAGGGTAACCTCTAAGAGCAGCAACTCATCTAAAAATCTTGAATTACTGGCTTTAGTAATACATACTTCCTTCTCAGATAACTAAAAAAAGGCTTCCTGGAGTAAATGCAGGTTAACCTTTCACTTTATATATGGATTTTCTTTTCAGTCATTTGCCAGTCTCCTCCCCTAGAACCACCAAGGAAATGGCCAAGAAGTGCGTTACTAACTGTGCAATTCAAATGCCTTGATAAGCACTGCAGTGTTGTCATGTTTTTCTTGAATCAAAATTTTCCATTGTGAAAACCTTATGACAACTTTTCTGTTATGAATACCTTATGACAACTTAAGTCCACAATTAAGAGATGCTTTAATACCATCAGCAATACTTGAAGCGAGAGTTCGAAAATCCCCTCTAACATTTGCTTCTGTCTGTGTAAAGGAGATGTGATTGAGGATCTCATTGTTTGCTTCACTGTTTGTCTTTTTTTAATTTCTACTGAACCCTGGGAAAAAAATCGAATGACTTTTTCTGTGACCTAATCATTACAAATATCACTTCCTTGTTGTCATCAATCAAAGGAAAAATAGGAAATTTTTGCCTGATCTGCAGCCAGTTTTCGAGAAATTTGTGCATGCTGACACTCATAACTAAGACCAGGACAGTATACATGCTGTACCAGACAATTTAGCTTAGTTTTTTTTTTACTTGTTATACTTGCTGTTATTTCATTTCATATCTTAACATTTATTTTAATTTTACTACTCTGTAATTTCAATTTGTTACAGCAGAAATGCTATATATAAAAATTCAGGCAGATGTGCACCCTCCCCCCACACCCTTACATTCATATACCCTGCTGTGGTGGATTCCTATCCTTGTGAGACCTCATGGGTTTTTCTTTTACTAAAATAGTAAAAGTCCATGGCTTGCTTTATTTTTACAGGAGTAGATGGCATCCATTCTGTGTTGTGAAATGAAGGAGAAAGGTGGAGTCCAAATTTCTCTTTATTTCTGGAGCTCCGTTCAAAATTAAAGTTTTTCCAATCACTGTATAGCTCCATCTTGGATTCTGTTTCTTGATCCCAATAACAGTAACAATAAAACTACATTTCAAATATATTTATGGCATTGTTTATATGTGCTGGGCTGGCTGTCATGGAAATGGGTGCTTCTTCAGGTAAAGGAGCCAGTGAAATCTGTTACAACTGAGGTGTCAGCCAGAATTGCGGCAGCTGGATTCTAGAATAGGTGAAGACTCTCAATTGCTGTCAAGGACAGTGCCCTCTGTAAAGCACTGTGGCAATCTCCCTGGGAAGTTTCCAGAAGTTGGGCTAAGCTTGTAGCTGATACGGTGTCATTCCATATCCCTGGATTACCTGGCCCAGTGGCTTTTATAAAGATATAAAATACCATGAGAGGGAATAAGATAAAAAGTGATGGCATGTTGTGAGTAGGCTGCTATAAACTGGGATGTATATCTGTGTCTGAACGTGGTGCTTGTTTTTCAGTTTGCAGCATGTCCTTGGTTGCTCTTCTCCGATCCTTCTGGAAGTCTCATATTTAATACAAATAAAGATTGGGCTGAAAATTAGCACTTTGCAGGCCATGTTAGTAGTACTCTGTAATATACATGTTTTCTAAAGGGGTGTGTGTGTATGTATTAGGGACATATTTATGTAATGCAGCCCATCCCACTTCTCATTGCGATCTAAATAATAACGTAGGATTATTCTGAATGTGTAGACTGGCTTTCAAGCATTGTAACTTACATATATAATATTCAACTTACAATGTAAAAATATTTACACTGTACAAGCAAAGTGTAAATAATACTCCTTGTTGATAGAGATAGAAGATGGGATGTTTTCACACATCTTCTGCTTACCTTTCAATCATATCTCGTGACTTAGTCTAGCTGAGGACCCCAAGGAAGCCAACTAGGACTGGTCATTCACAGAGAGTGGCAACACATGAAGAGGTTCTGGCCCCAGCAGCATCAGGACCCTGGAGAGTTCACTGCAGGTGGCTTACAAGCAGTATTAGAACTCTGATCAGGAGAGCTGTTGTTCCAGCATCTGTGCCTGCCTATGACCATTTGGGACCTCAAATGGGCTTAGAAGAGCCAAGGATTTGCTAGGTGCATACATGCTTGCTGTTGACTCTAGAATTAAGAGCCCTTGGCTCTTCCTTAGTCATGTGTGACTGGGAAAGTGTACGGAAGAGTCCTCTAGGTCTGAGCTGTCAGATGAAAGGAGAGGAGCCCAGCTAGGTTGCAGCATGTGACTGATTTCAAAATTCAGACCTGGTTAATACTTGGATAGGAGACCACTATAAAATCCCAGGCCAGACTGGAGGAAGGCTGTATCAGCACCAAGAATTGAGCTTTACCTTTTTTTCTCCTTACATCCTTTGGGATGACCTCAGGATCATCAATTCTGACCGTAATGACATAACACCTCTGACATTGATTTTCACCATTCTGTTGATCCCAAGTGCCACATACTGATTTATGGCTTCGTAAAATATCCCGTTTTTTTTCGTTAGGCCTTAGCAGACGTGCAACTTCAGACTTTGGCTTGATGAGAGATTTCGCTCAACAGACTCATTTGTCCCCAGAATACAGACACCTACAGCTGTCTAGACTTGCTGACAACATTCAGAGGTAATTTTCCATCAAGATTGGTCCTGTTGCCTAACCATACATCCACAGTGTTTGGATTTGAGTCTTTTACAAGTGCATGTTTTGGGGAAAAACAAATAATAAAATAAGAGCATAGAACTATTGCACAGATTGATATATAGACAAATTAACTAACTGCTGATTTTTCAGTTTTTTTTCTTAAATTTCCAGCATGAAGCTGCATTTGAAAAGTATTTCCACTTAAAAAAAAAGAACTGGAGATATTCTGTACTTTGATAATTGCATTTTTATTTTTGGATTTTCTACATAATGCATTCAGAAATATATAATTATGCTAGGCCTAAGTTCATATACTGCATAGTATTTTATCTTTTTCTAATTATATTAAGGTAATTGGATATTTAAGAGAAGGCATCAAGATAGAAAACAAGGTGTCTCCAGCTGGGTTGCAGTTTGCATTTCTATATGAGTGGTTCCTGGCAATACTAAACTTGACCATTGCTGATTTACAGGACAGCTTGATCCTCTTTCCAAGGCCTACTGCAGCATCTCCCTTCTTGGTTGTGGGCATCCAGATGAGGAAATGGTTTAGAAATATTTTAAGTTAACTAGAAGAATAGGTAACACATCTTGTTGCAGGAAAGAGTGATGGTTAAGTCCTGCTGGGATTGACATAAGGTGACAATTGACTTTATGTCAAAAAAAAAATCACTCAACATCAATAATTACATTTATGATGGAAGAGAATCATCCATGTCTCCAGAGAAGTTAAGTCTCATTGAATTCAGGATTCAGATCTCTCAACTTGTACAGACTTGCTTCTTCTGTGTTTTTATCCACTAGATGGAGTTAAAGAATCATCATCAGTTTACAGAGACACAGGGGCTATGTCTGAAACACAAATGGAGTTTCAGAGGAATTCCCTCCATTCTGAAGAATATTCTCCAGAAATATCATTTATTTGTTTATTTGTTTATTTACTTATTAGATATATACCTATTTAGAAGCTCAAGATGACATACATTAAGGTTGTGTGTGTGTGTGTGTGTGTCCCTCCTATTTTTTCCGCAAACAACTACCCTGCATGGGAGGTTCGGCTGAGAGAGTGACCACCTCAAAGTCATTCTGTGATTTTCCATGGTTGGCAATGAAACCGAACCTGGGTCTTCCCAGTGCTAGTCCAGTGTGCGACTGCTACATCACACTGGCCATCCAAAGTGAACCAACTTCACAAGTAGTTATTGTGGAGAAAACCTAAGGAGACAATCATACACTGAAATTCAGGGGGAAAGGTGGGATGTAAATATAATAATAGAGAGAGAGAGAGAGAGAGAGATATTCATTCTCCTGTTTATTGTGTTGAATTGTTTTCTATCATTCATCTCTTTCACTTTCATCTGCTACTGTTAGGCTGGAGTTACATACCTTCACAACTTGATTACTGTATTAACCCATTTTCTAGGTTCACCCAATACACTGAACCCTAAATTAACCCTAACCCTAAACACATGATAAATGGTGAAAGCAATTAACTTAAATTACAACTAGTCCAGGTCAGCATGGTGTGTGAATGCAACTGCTGTGCCTTTTGCAATTGTTAGGTTTTAACTGAGCTGGTTAAATATTTTATGTGAATCCAGTCATTTTGATGAACAGTTGGATGGAGCACTTTCCTAAATTTCTGTAAGGGCTTTTTACAATGCTGGCGTTTCTCCCAGCCGCCATTCTCTCCAAGATAAATTAGGACTGGCCACAGTTACTCATAACTTAAAGAAGCCTTCCCCAACTTGGGTGCTTTCTAGGCATATGAACTTCAACCCCAAGAATTCCTCAGCCAATATGGATATTGCCAAGAATTTTAACAGTTGGAGTCCATAAATATATATTAAGTCAGGTTAAATTTGTGCTTGTCAAAAATTGTTCGGAAATACCTGTTGACCCAAAAGGCATCTGCCAAGTTTTTAGCTGGAGCTTGTAGATATTTTCACGGCATGAAAATAATAGTAAGGACAAGTTATATCAGAGGGTATAATATTTTTGCAAAAACTGAATGGAACATATAACAGAATTGCAAACAAAAATGTGCGTGTTTGGGGAAGAATGCAGAAAAATGCTGAGTGTGGAAAAAAAATTCCAAAGTACTACAAACCAAATGTGATAGAACTACAAAAATAAAGCTTTGACTTAACTATGATAATTTGCAAAAATGGCAAACTGAGGAAAATGAAATTGGTAGAGTTGCTCATCCCTACTCAGAATTATAATTAATGTACTCATTGATGTTACAGCTTTCACTCAACCCCCAGTGCACTAAATTGGGGGATCTGAGAAGGTTTGTACGTAGGGGCATGGCATAATGTAACATCTGTGTCTCTCTCTCTTGAGTGTTTAAGGGAAGATGGACTGTACATACCATTCAAATAAATTCCACATATCTTTTCTTGCAACACCACTGAGCATCAGGACCTGGGTAGCTGCTAAGGCTAATGCCTTGTATATAGTCATCTAAAGTTAGTGGTCCATGACTTCAATTCCCAGTAGAGGGCTTGAATGTCATAGAATAAAATCTTGCTGTGTTCGTCTGATAAGTCCCACTAAAGATGAAAGTGGTCATGTATTGCCTCCTGGTGGTCGGTATAATTGAAAAGTATGCAAAGGATTCTGGATCCAGTTGATTTTAGGGTTGCAATTTTCTTTCAGAAATAAAGATGCTCGCTTAGAATTAGAAAACTGGGGGTTGCAGATTGGATGTCAGACTTCCTTGACTGGTCGTGTGGTCCCCTCAGAAAAAGTCCTCATGCAGAATGAGACAGTAAGTAATACAGGCTTAATTCGCATTTTACTTCATATTGTTGAATGCCACCTCCTCATATTGCCTTCCGTTTCAGGTTAACTCATATGTATGTATGTATGTAAAAAAAATAATTTTTTATGAAAGAAATTTTAATAGAATAAAAACAATACGAATTTTGAAAGAGAAAAGTAAAGAAAGTAAAAAAAAAAGTAATGAGTGAAAAAAAGTGCAAAGAAAGAAATGGAGAAGAAAAAGAAAAAGTTATAAAGAAGTGGCTTCTGATCTTCTTAACAGCAGTTACAAGTACGTATATATTTTACCCTCTCTAAGGTTACACCATAATTTCCTTCTTTCCATAGTCTACCCTTTCCAATCATCCATCCCATAAAGTTCTTTTTTTTCTTTTTTCAGCAAAACGTCCATAAGGGGTTTCCAGTCCCCCTTTCAGGTTACCTCTGCAGTAACAGCAATGTATAGACAACAGCCCTTTCTATAGATAAGGGCGGGACCAATCTTTCATCCCACAGTGTTGCTGGGGTTCCAGAGACTCTCACAAGCAGAGGCAGTTAACTTTTGGCTCAGCTGTAGCTCCAGAGAAAACAGGAGACAGTCTTGGAGTGCTTCCTCTGAAGTTCCAGGACAGACAGTTTCTCCTCATGGGAATTCAGATGTCATCTTGCCTCCCTGCTCCTGAGATTTCTGTCTCAAAGCCAAGTTGCCGTATTCCTTTGCCACATTCCCCAATTGTTTGGAGCAATCAGAGGGCGCTTTGCCACTCCTTCCAACAATCTTTTTTTGTGTGTGTGTGAAAGCAAGTGCAATGAGGAAGTGAAGGGCGGGGGGAATTGGCTGGAGCTACTGGTTCTCCGTCACCACCCCCCGGCCGGCCTCTCCTTTCTCCATCCTTTCCAGATAGGGAACAGCAGTGATGACATTTGTACGGGGACAGGAAACTACTGCAGAAAGTAAGAGAATGAGGATGGTGGCTAGGTGCAAGTGCCTGGTGCCCAGAGACTGAAAATAAGAAGCACTTTTTGAGTCTCGTCTCAGCTCATTTCCTCATGAGGATGCTGTTCAGTTTGAAAATGGTCCAGGCGAAGAGTCTTCCATGATACCTGCAAGGTTGGAGTGCTCAGCTGCTTTATTTCTTGTCTCAGGCAGATCTTGTATTTGGCAGCACTCAGAAGTAGAAGGAGGAGGATGCAAATTGGTGTAGGGGTAGGCAAATGGCACTGTATCCCTCCACTAATTTATAAAAAATAGCAAAAAGTAAGGCTGCGTGAAACTCCTTGTCAGAAGAAGCGGTGGAACATCTGTAAAGTGCTCATTTGGACACAACCAGCCTCACATGACAGGCAGAACCCATCCGGCTTTTCCAGTTTAATCAACCTTCTGCACAGCTGAGGAATTGTGTCCTTGTCCTGTTTTTTAAACATAGGTCTAGCCCTCTTTCAAAAGAGCATTAAACCCATGTATAGAAGGAGCTTGAATAATGCCTGACTGGCGTTTTCCAGTATCTCTGCAGAGGCAGACATCTGATGTCTCCTACACTCTAAGCAAATACTGTAAACTTGGGGAGGAATACAGGTAGTCCCCGGGTTCAGAACGTCTGGGTTACAGATGACCCATAGTTAAGAATGAATGGAGCCTTTTGTAACAAAATTTGAGTTAAATACACAATGATTCGAGTTAAATAGACAATGATTTGAGTTCATTACACAATATTACTTATACAGTATTATACAATAATACTGTTCTAACTTACATACAAATTTGACTTAAGGACAGACCTTGGGAACAGAACTTGTGTTTAAACTGGGAACTACCTATACCCAACAGTTGGGCCCAGCTCTGGACCTGCCATGCATTAAAAGCAATTGGTGGTAGTTTTTCCTGCCCTCAGGTGATACTCAGTGTGTATGTGATGGGGGGGGGCATCACTTTCCTTAATTTATCCTGCATTAAAATTATAAGGACGGAATCACCTTCTGGCTTTGTTTGTTGTTGTTTAGTCGTTAAGTCGTGTCCGACTCTTCGTGACCCCATGAACCATATTGCGCCAGGCCTTCCTGTCCTTCACTGCCTCCCTGAGTTTGCTCAGTTTCATGCTCATTGCTTCA